CCAGGAAGCCAAAAAAGCTTCTTGAAGCCTTTTGTTTTTCTCTTTCTCTGCTATGATCATGGAGGAGGCCTCATGTTGAGATGGAAGAGCCATAAGATTGAAGCAGCCTATATTGTGTAGACCCTGCCCAGGCTTCAGCTTCTTTAGAGTCTCCTAGATCCAAGGTGGAATTTGCATGGTGGAGACATGAGCTTTCTGAGTTAAGCCTTTGATATTTGTGGGGTTGTTTGTTACTGCAGCCTAGGTCTACCTTTTCCTGACTAATATACCACCTTTCACATACATATCCATAAACATATAGTTTTGTTTCTTGGGTCATCACTCTGATTCATTTACCTATTTGCTTCTCCTTATACTAATTCTTCAATTTTATTGTCACTTTGTAGCATATATATATATATATATATACACACACACATATATATATTTTTACTTTATATCATATTTTAATGCCTGAGGGGGCAAGATTTACATCATTGAGCTTTTTAAAAAATCCTTGCTTAGTCATAAGCATTAACTTTTTAAGACAGATTTTTAGAACTCTGTATAAAAGATCTTGGCTGTACTTTGCATCATATTCCATTAGATTTACAGATTAATTTGGGAAAATTGACATCTCCACCATATGAGGCCATCCTGTTTTATCCATATGTCTTGCATGTTTTTTCTTCAGCTTTTTTTTTCTGATAGTTTTTTTGCTCTTCAATAAGATCTTTGTTCATATTACATTTTAAAATTATTCTTACTGGTGTATAGGAAGGGAATTGGTGTGTGTATATTTCTCTTTTATGTAGCCTTCCTGAGATCCCTGGTTTTGAAAAGAATTGATTGATTCTCTTTCCCCTAAAGGGGGTCCTGGGATTGCTATTTCTTAGAGATTTAATCCTTCTTCTGAATTTGTTTCTAGTCACTAGCCTGGGAAAATTCAGTGTATTTCCATTCTTCATAGAAGAAGGTTTCTCCTACCATCTGTTCTAGGAAGTGTCCTATTTAAATTCTCCCCCCACCTCTTGTTCCTGTAAGGCATTTAGCAAATCTGTTTGTGTAATTAAATTCCTGTACTATTATTACTCTATGGACTAATTTTACAGCACTACCTAGCTTATTTAACATTTCTGTATTGGTTTCACCATCCTCAATAGGAAAACTATTACATATTGTTTATTTACTTTCTTACTACATTGTTTGTAATCTGAATATAATCTCTTTACCTCTCCTTGATTATCCTTTTATTTTTATTTATTTATTTTTTTTAAGATTTTATTTATTTATTTGAGAGAGAGAGAGAATGAGAGATAGAAAGCACAAGAGGGAAGAGGGTCAGAGGGAGAAGCAGACTCCCTGCTGAGCAGGAAGCCCGATGTGGGACTCGATCCCGGGACTCCAGGATCATGACCTGAGCCGAAGGCAGTCGCTTAACCAACTGAGCCACCCAGGCGCCCATCCTTGATTATCCTTTTAATATCAAGTCCTGAGTTATCAATTTTAGCAAGGTCTTTGCTTGTTACTATGTGTTAAAAGTTTCTAAATTTATAGAGTATATGGATTGGAATATATGTTCTTATCTCACTTGGTAAATTGTTTTCTTAAATTGATTATTCAATGTGTAAAAAGCGTTCAGAGTACAAAAGATATCTTACTCATATGAGTATGTTTATATAAATCTTACCACATTTTTTTGAGTCTTTTTGGAATAAGTTTAACAAAAATCCTGTGAAGTCCCATGAGTAATTAAATACTATGGCATCAAAGCGTGTAGCTTCCCAAAGGTTTGAAAACCCTTTTTCCCAATACTTTTTGCCCAAACAAGCACCTAATAGGGCAGGTCTACTCACAAAAGGTAAAAGGGGAGAGGTAGTTCCCATGCTGCTTTCTGGAAATGTCACCGCAAAATAACACCTAAGCTATTCTTCACAAAGTCATAAAAAGAAAATACTGGATTAATCAGAATGGGTTAGATGACCCTTCAGTGACAAACAATTCCAAATTTTCAGGGTGACTTTTTGATAGATGAAAGATGGCCACAATTTATTTTGGCTGTTTCTTGTTAAGGGGTAAAGTCTAATTCCTCTTCTCTTTAATCTGGGCTGGCCTTTAGTGATCTGTTTAACCAGTAGAATGTAGTGGATGTGACAAGTGTCTTCCACCATATGCAGGAATCCAAGCAAAAACAGCCCAGCCAAACCCCTCAGCCCCCAGAACCATGAGACTTGATATTGTGGTAGTTATGTAGTAATAGCTAACCTGAATAGGTTTATCATAATGAAAATGTATTTCTTGCCTAGGTAAAATCCCCTGAGAATCCAGGGGACCATCTAGGGCAACTGTTCTCCAGGAAGCATCTTAGCAACTTAAGCTTCTCTCTGGTCTTGTGTAATCCTAGATCATGTCTTTTCTCTAAAAGTTTCATCATAGGAGCTTCCTGCCTCCTGCTTCCACTGGAGGGTCTCACATCAGTGATTAAATGCTTCAATCTTCGAGTGGTATATACACATCCTTTCTACTTGCAGAGCTTTTACACTGTTGGCCTAACTTCATAGGGGATGTAGAAGTGTACTCCTTTGTGGGCTGGGAAAGAGAAAGGCGCTGGGTATACATCTACCGCATGTGACGTATCAGTGAGAAACATGCAGATCTGGGGATAGAGGAAAAAGGGCATTTGGCTTTTAACTCCCTCTTCAACCCGAGAGGGAAAGGGGAAGCCGGGCAAGACCTATTGTCAACCTGACCTCAAGTCACACTCTCAAAGACTTCACCAGGGTTCCTAATGTGCTTGAGGAACGGAAGTAGAGTTACCGGAGTATAGGGGATTGTGGAAATGGCAGCGTGGAAAGCAGGCAAAACTGAAGCAGTATTGTGAAGGATTTTGCGTACCAAGAAAAGCAAATTTGACTTTAATCTAGGAAAATTAGAGAATCTTAGAAGCATTATAGCATGTTGTTGCCTCCAGATAATAAGACATAAGATTTTTATTTTTATTTTTTTTTTTTAAAGATTTTATTTATCTATTTGAGAGAGAGAGAGAATGAGAGAGAGAGAGCATGAGAGGGAAGAGGGTCAGAGGGAGAAGCAGACTCCCTGCTGAGCAGGGAGCCCGATGTGGGACTCGATCCCGGGACTCCAGGATCATGACCTGAGCTGAAGGCAGTCGCTTAACCAACTGAGCCACCCAGGCGCCCCACATAAGATTTTTAATCATACCATGTGTAAGGCATTATATTTACCCCATTTAACCTTCACAGCCCTCTTATGCAGTTCATTCTATTATTACCTGCATTTAAACAGAACCTTGGTGTGAACTAGTTTTAGCCCCAAGTCACATAGGTAAGAAGTGTCAGGGCTCAGATACTGATCATTGGACAGCAATTACCCCCTTACCTGGCTGTGTGCCATCATGCTACTCATTTGCTCCCATACATTCTTGCTATGGTCCTTCCTACTGACCTTACTCTGAAGGCCAGGACATGTAATCCTTGAACACACGTTTTGTGTTAGAAAGAGGAAGAGCTTCAGCAATGAGTTTCCGTTGTGGCTCAGATACTCTCTCTTTTTAACTCTTCATTTTGCAAATTTTCCAGCATACACAAAGTAGAAAAAAGCGAAAATGAACTTAGCTTCAGCACTGCTTGATGTTGTGTCACCTACGTCTATCCATCCTCTCTGCACTCCCTAAATTTTATTTCTGGAGTATTATCAAGTGAATTCTAGACACCATATTATTTCACACATAAATACTTTACTATCTGTAACCAATAAAGGCTTTTTAAAAATATAGTTATAAGACCATTATCACACCCCCAACAAAATTCGTAGTTATTTCTTAATAGCAGAATCTGTTTTAAAGAATTTTTTCTACCAATCACATATCATATACAAAAGCTGCACCAAAAAGAATGATAGAATTCCTGTGTATGATGTTTCTTTTTATAAGCAAAATAAAGTGTTTTCTATTGAGTTTATAGGATTGATTTGTATGCAATAACAGTGATTCTTAGTAACACTTATTGCAAGGACATTTTCCAAATTTACAATAATCTGTAAATGTGAGTCTTATATTTTTATAAGGGCTGGCTCCACATAGCATGGAGCTACTACTAATTAACACCTAAATCAAGTAAGATCTTCTCTGGAGGCAAAATTAATCTTTCTCTCCTACAGGATTAGAGATTGATCTCATGTGCCCAGCAATACTGTTAGGTTTACAGCTGTCTTTGTTTTAAGCCCCGGACAGAAATCACACTTTTTCATCATGTATTGACCATATTACCTAGTCTTATGCTTTGCACAGCTAACAAGTTTTTATAAAGCACACTTTGAAAAAGCTCAGTCACCTTCTAATTGTATTTCAGCCATACAAACTCAGGGTGTGGTTATCTCAAGGTACAGATGCATCTAATGTGTATCTGGAGAGAGCTTTGGAAATCATTTAGGCTACTTTCATTTTAGATCTGACGCACTGTAGCCAAGAGAAGTGCGAGATCCATTTAATTGCAACTGCCAATATTCTTTTATTCACTGACTCGTTTGTTAGTACTCATGTTTTAGAAGTTCTTTATAAAATTACAATTATTAAAAAAAACAATTGCAGAATCTAGTTTCACTATTATCTCCAATTAGGCAGTGATACTTCAATATACACACGCAGAGAGTATTTAAATTTTCCTCTCCCTTTCAGGAAGAGATGGCCAAGCATCCTCCGTTTTCTCATTGTAAATAGGTTTACTCTACAGTCCGTTTTACTTTCACTACCATTGAATAGGGGATGAATTTTTAAATTAGTGGCCGTGTTTCTCTTCAGAAATTCCCACGCGCGCCAACCCCAGTACTGGAGCCTGGGCACACGAGGTGCCAGTTCTAACTTAAGAAACATTGGGTCATCTGTTTATTTTCGGGAGGGGGGAAGGGGAGGAAGGGCGTCAGAAAGAAAGGGCGGCCGTTGCCCAGGCAACCGACACCCCGGGCAACGGCGAGGCGAGGCGGGAGGGGGCGTGGCTTCGGCGAGCCCGGGCGGATAAGAGGCGGCGCTGGCCGCCCCCTCCGAAGCTGGGACTGTTCGTGCGGCCGGCCGGAGGCGGGGCGGCCCGGCACCACCTCCGACTACCTGGGAAGGCCTGGGCTGGCGGGCTAGCGAGGCCCCGGGCCCGCCGCTTCCTGTCCCCACACCCCCTGCCGAGGAGCCTCCCTCCGCGCCCCAATATGGCGGGCGGGCACTGGGGTCCGCTGCTGACGGCGCTCCTGGCCGCCCGAGTCGCGGCGGCGGCGGAGGGCAGCCCCGAGCAGGCCGCGCTACCGGAGGAGCGGAGCTGGGTGCGGCCCATGACCGCCTCCAACTGGACGCTGGTGATGGAGGGCGAGTGGATGCTGAAATTGTGAGTGTGCCCGCCCGCCCCGCACGCCACACTGCCCTTGTGGGCGCCGCCCTCCCAGAGCCGCGCGGGCGTGTGTGGATCCTGCACTGCCCGTTGGGCTCGACCAGTGCTCGCTGGGCGACCTGCGGCGCCGGGGCCGGGCTGCTCACGCTGCGCATGCGCGCCAGGCCCTCCGCGATGACAGCTGCGGGTGCCGAGCATCGCTCTCCACCCACCCCACCCCATCCCCCTGCCTTGTTAGCCTGCTTTTGGGGAAAGAGTTTTAGGCATGGGGTGAGCAGCTTACCAAGAGAAGGAGGGGTAAATGGGGAAAATCTGTGAAAAAATCTCGTGCTTTTGATATAGGCGTGTACGTAGAGAAGGGCTGCCATTGAATGACATTTACGTATAGTACAAATACGTAGCACGGGCTAGGTAAGGTATTTGTTGAATGAGTAATTCCAGCACGGTGAAGGGCAGACTAGTTTGTGCAAAGTAGTTTGGTTTTCATTTTGAAGACCCCGGGATGTCATTGTGAAAAATAAAACAGGAAGATGGGAGTGTTTTTGAAGTTCTAGAACAAGATTGCAAATAAATGTTGATATTTGTTATCATTTTTAGAGGTAGAGATTTCTGGGTAGATATCTTAATGTGCTAGTGTAATAAAGAAGGACATTCCTAGATTGCCCCTTTTGAACAATAGAAGGTAATTGTGCGTAGTGCCTTTGCTTGAAGGAGACGGGAACAATATAGTTTTGAGTTAGGAACAGGGAAGTAGCTTAAAATAACTTCTAGGAAGAAAGTGATCGTTTGGAAAAAAGCCTTGAGGTAGACAATGGGCAGATGTCTGAACAGGCTTCAGAGACCATCATGGTGGACTTGCTGGGGGAAAATGAAGAACCTCTGGAAAAATGATCACTGAGACCTTATTATCTCTTTAGACTGTAGTTTCAGGTAATATACATACTTGATCACTACTATTTGCTGATTAATCTTACCTTGAGGACACAGACACACAGAATTGGATCTTTCCTTTCTTTGTCCAAGACCAAATTTTGATTCTTTCAGTTTAGATCGCAAATTGCAGATGCCTATGCAGTGAAAACCTCACTTGTGAGATCAGGGCCAAAAGTGACAACTCTCTTAGCAGATTACATTGTTCAGAAAATCATTACCCCTTCAAACATGCATATACCTTTTGGTCACAAAGAAGGGGATTTTTTAGACCTCTAGGTAAAATGCCTTTGGTATCATAATGAGCAAATGAAATGATTAAAGAAATCTGTAGACATGAAAGACTTATTAAACTACTTAAGCACTTTGGATGATGATGAGGAGGTCATTTTCCATTTAAGAGAGAAACTTTTAAGTAAGTGGAGACTTATTCAGGACTGTCGTGTTTGTAATAATTGTAAGAATTTTAGACTGCATTTTGTCAGCTAGTACTACAGAAAGTTCTTTTTTAAAATAGGTGCTTACGCAGTGGACCTTCCTAGATGTCAATTTTCTGAATAAATCTGACTTTGTGTATGTACATGATGAAGGTCAAGGCAGAAAGGCCTCAACACCTTTATAGCTCCTTTTTGGAATAGCTTTTTTTTTTTTTTTTTTTTTTAAGTAAAAGAGCTAAGCAAACTAAAGGTGAGTGTAAGCCACATTAAGCTCGTAAACAGCAACAGCCAACAATTCCTGTGTTTGGACATGTCGACTGTTCAAATTATACTCTTCATGAATGTACAAGTCCAGACGTGGTAACCAATTGCTTTAAACTTGCCATGCGTCCATTGCATGGAATATGTTTGGGCTGTGATACAAGATGAGATTTGTAACCCAGAAGTAAGCTGCCCTTGAGATCATTTTAGTAGAAGTTCCCTTTCCATCGAGTACACTTCAGAATAGTTCAATATGAAGGGAGGCTGTAAAGGAAAGAAGATTTAAACCATTATATCCAACTTTTTTCTATATACCAGAACCGAAGTCCTGAAGAAATATTGTGGCTCTTGTCTGTTTGTAATACTCCATCTCCTCCCTTTGACAGAAATCCAACACTTAAAAAATATAAAGTTCATTACATTCTCTACCATGATAGGCCTATAAATTTCTAAGAATTCACTCAAATAGCCAATAATTTATCAGATTTTTTTCTTGGTGTATATAACAGAGAAAAGCCAAATGTGTTAATACTCCTACCAGGTCAACCCCTTTTCCAAGTGAACTGATCGTAATGAACAGATTGTTAGGGGTCCACAGATGATGCATTTAACTTTCCTACAGAAGCAACTTAGGAGGCTTTCTGATAGTATTAAAATTTTGACCATTACTTTGAATGACAGTTCTTTATTTGTTCATTTGCTTATATGCAACTTCTCTTCAGGGAATTTTTTCTTTCATATCCTATTTCATACAAAGCTCCTACAGTACAATTCCTGGTCATATTGGGATTGATAGTTTAACTTATTTTTAAGGACCTAGCAGTGTTTTCTGCTCCTATTGTAAAACCTAATTTGTTATATTTTCTTTGTCTTTAAAACAGTCAATTTTTTTGGCAACTTGCAATTGAATTTTCAGTTTTTTAAAAAGATTTATGTATTTATTTTAGAGATAGAGAGGGAGAGAGTGTGTGCATGTGGGGGAGGGGCAGAGGGAGAGAATATTTGAGCAGACTCCCCCACTGAGTGTGGAGCCCAATTCCTGGCTTGATCTCAGTCAGCACCCTGAGATCATGGCCTGAGCCCAAACCAAGAGTCAGTCATTCAACCACCTGAGCCACCGAAGTGCCCCTGAATTTTCAGTGTTAAAAAAGCACTTCTCTGTTAGGGAGAAATATCAGTTAAAAATATATTTGTAGTAATTCACCACTTCAATTCTGAACCTTTTTAAAAATCTGAAAAATTATCCCATTACTATTTACATTTTCATTAATGCTTATTGTATATTCAGTTTTTCTCTTCTTGTTTGCTTTTATACATTGTTTTATAATTTTATGCCTATTTCTGCCATGTCTCTAAAATTGGCTTATTGTGCTTTTCTCATCTTAACCTCTGATGAAAAGTTTCTCCTTTTTCAGGGTTAGAAAAGATTATATAATCTTTAAAATATCTTCTGATGTTTTCTTTTCTCTATTTCCATTGTTTTATACTATCCTTCATTCCATTACTTTGTAACCTTTTGCTATTTTAAACTTTTTTGGTTCCCATTGTATCCGTCCTTGAGAATACTACTTTTGTTCTTTTGACAAACAACAGCATGCATTCGGTATACTTTTCTGGTGGTTTTTTTTTCCCCCCAGAGGAAAAAGTAGCTATCCAAGCAGCTTAATTTTGACCTGCCTACTTTTAAACTGGTATCCAGAGGCAAAGTATGTCTTTAGGTTAATTTACCTTTGTAAAGCATATAGATCTTTATAAAACACTACCTTTTCTGACTTTGTTCTTGGGGCGATCATGTTTCAAAATTGAAAACAGTCACAGTGATAGAGGGAGGTCTCATTTATTTCCCTAGGACCTCTAGGTTTTAGTACTTTTTTTCCCCCCAAATCCTTCTTATTCCTGAAGAGAACATCTTCAACATCATCACCTTAGCTGGTCCCTGTCAAATATCATTTTTTTGCAGTTTAATAGATTATTTTGATGTGCTGATTGAATGTTTAAGAGGTAGTCATTAAATGCTTATTATGTTTCAAGTTTAGAGTTAGGGATCTGGGAAGATGAAAATGAAGGAGCTAAATTCTTTGCTTTCTAGGGACTGTCAGTCTTCTGTGCTCTGAAGGAAATAAGTAGCAGATATAGCATTCATTTATTTAGCAAATGTTTACTGAATGCTTCTTCTCTTTCAGGCATTCAGCAGTGGTTCTCATCAGGCACTATTGGCATCTTGGTTTGGACAGTTCTTTGATATGTGGGGATGGCCTGCCCATTGCTGAACCTTAAGTATTGCTGCCCCTGCCCATTCTAGTATTCATGTGACACCAAAAAAATTTAGCAATCTCCATCCCTTATGCATATTTCCAAATGTCTCTGATTGAAAACCACTGCCCTGGGTACTGTTACGGGTGTTTAAAAACATACAAAAGAATAGCTCATAAGTGAACATATAAGTATTTGATTTCAGATTGTTTTCACAAGGGCTATCCACATCACCTCCATGATCCTCATCATCTCAGTCACAGTAAACCGTTACATTGTTTACATCACAAGTCCTCTTCATCAGTGCTCTCTTATTTGATCATCCCAGCAATCAGGTGCAGAACTTTCATTCTCATCTCATTTCCTAGAGGAGATTAAAACTGGAAGAGGTTAAAGCTTTGGCCAAGGCCAGTAGTAAGTGGTTGTCAAGGCCAGAACTAGAATGCAGGCCTGAGCTTTGCAGTTCCTGATGCAAGCCTAGAATAGTTGGGTAGTGGGGGAGCCTGGCTTATTCATGCTTAGGCTGTCAGCTGGCCAGCACCATGAGCCACCTGAAAGAAAGCCTTTTCTTTGAAGCCTGTGGGATTCAGAGGCCCACCCATAGTTTTATCATCTGTAGAATCTCCAAATGAAGAGCATTATTGCTATATCCTCATTCCTGACACTCTTCACTCAAACAGGTGCTCTGCCTTCTATGCACACAAACCACCCAGGAAATTTCTCACTTTGTCTTGTTTGTATCTATCATGGCCCTTATCACAACTTGTAATTATAAATTAATTTTTATGCTTCTATACTAGGTTTTTGTCTAATTCTTCTTCTAGACAATCAGCTTTTCAGTAGAGGATGAAAGTCTTTCTTCTTTCTATTTATCTCCAGAGCCTTGATAACAAGTACTAAGTGTTCAATAAATACTTTGACTAAGTGAATGAATGACCAGTTGTTCCTTTAATGAAGAGCTTCCTCATGTACATCACTGAAGGAAACATCTATCTGTATATATTTTCGTAGGTACTAAGGATAGTCACTGTCATCTCCCATTTGTTCATTAATGTAATAAATATTTACCGTGGCCTAGGACCTGCCAGGCTCTATTCTAGCTAGGTACAAGTGATG